AATTATCACTTTAGTGACATTCTGCCATCGTGCCATTGATGCCATTGATACTTTTTGGTATACAAATACCATGTGGTTATTCCTTGTACTAAATTTGATCCAGCATAATTTATCTTTACTTTTATAATATATTTAAAATGAAATTTATTTAAATTATATATTTTTTTAGGTGACAATGGAGACAATTATTCTTCTGCAGTTAATATCCTCGATATTTCAAACGATTTATATAAATGGGTTTCCTTATATACTCTACGTACACCAGATTTGAAAGCAACAGCTCCCCCCAATAACCTGAACACACTGAACATTGGAATAGTTGTGGGGTTAATAGTTGCGAGTGTTGTGAGCGTTGGATTATTAGCTATTATTAGCTATTTAATTTATTCTAGGAATAAGTTTAAAAAAGAATTTAAGTCAATAGAAGATTCTAGTAACGAGGTGATTAAGTCGACGGAAATTCAACATTCTAGTAATGAAGTGGTTGACGATAGGTGATAATTATAATTTTACGTTAATTTAGAAATTGGCGTTTCAACTCATATTCTTAACTTGTAAATCGGATTATCTTGTCATACTTTCCCATTTAAACCTTTTTATTATTCCTAATTATATATATATATATTATCATTGTCATGCCTTTATTTATTTATCGTTGTATTTATTTTCAACCACTTTGTTGGTAAGATAATACCAATTTGATTTCTGTTTACATAATTTTCCTCTTTTAAAAATTTATATTGTAAAATAAGATACTTTTTAAAGTGCGTGCAAGGGGTCCTTAATGGTTTATTAAGTGATATTATTCTCAAGTATCGATTAATGGATTTAATATACAGTCAGATCTCGATATAATCACCAGGTTTGGAAACAAAATTTTGGTGATTATAAAAGTTGTGACTATATAAAGGGCAAAAATTTATATGTTTTGTATGGCTATATCAAAAAATAGTGTGATTTATAACAAGGTTGTGACTTTATTGAGAGTTACTATAACGAGATCTGACTGTATTAAAAAAAATAATAATAAATTTTAGTGAAAAATATTTTAATTGAATGAAGTCTAAAATAAACGAGATACAGGCATGCAATTTGTACCTTAGGGGAGGGCCAGAAAACACGTGTTTTTTTAAGGGGAGGGGGTCCTTTTAAAAATAACAGATCTATATATAAAAAAAAATTAGAGGTCACCTGGGGGAGCCGC